AAGAAAGAAAGAAAGACAGAAAGGAATGAAAAAAGAAAGAAAGGAAGACAGAAAGGAAGGAAGAAAGAAAGAAAGGAAGGAAAGAAGAAACAAGCTGCAGTCCAGCAGGAGGAAAATCTCACTCTGGCGCCACCAGCGGGAGGCCTGATGTAATGAAATGGCAATTCCAGAAGTTCATGCAGCGCAGAGCCAAAGGAAACTTCAGTCCGCTGGCAGAACTGCGTTCCCTCCTTCCGCTCGCCGAGCTCGGCGATGAGCGAATAATGACCACCGACCAATTAAAAGTTTTTTTAGTTTTAAATAAAAGCTGCACCGCAGTGGTTACACTAGCAAATGTGACCAAACCCGAGTGTGAAATGACCCGCTGTAGCTTTAAGAGGATCTAGTTTTGTGCGCATGTTCATCTATTAAATGTTTTTCGTATGAATTTACCCCAAATACACGGGGAGTGAGCCAAAGCGCATGTGAGAGAGATGTGCAGCAGCCTATGGGTGGAGTTGGACCAATCAGTGCGCGCTGCGGCTTTACGGGCAGACCGCGCGGCCAATAGGAATGCGGCGGAGGCTAGCGTGTGGAGTTTTTGGGAGGGAGGGGGAGCGAAATAACATTGCAGCCTTCACTCGACTTCGCGACGGGGATTAATAAAGCAGGGGAGACAAATCTGCCGCTAAATTACTCGGTTTATTATTCCGGATGGTTATTTAAGCGGAAAGGAAGGAAGATCAGGGCGCATTCTGCTTCATTCTCCGCGGATTACGAGCCGAAACCCGTCGCTTTTCTTCCCTCAGCTGTCCAGCAGTAACGGGCTGCAACTGTGCGCCTGTTTAACGGATTCTTAAAGCGAAAAGCTGCAAAGTTTGTTTGTGAGCGCCGAACGGAGGTTCAGCTAAAATGGAAGCCGGAGCAGTGACCGCCGTGCTGGGCTGAGCCGGACGGGCGGCGGCGGAGGGGCTGTTCCGTGGCCGACCGGAGTGGGGATGTGGGCCGGGCTGGACGAGTCCCAGAGCTCGGCTAGCGTTAGCTTTAGCCTGAGGGGCTGAGAACGCTGGTATACGCTCAAGCTACCTTCACGTTCCACGCGCCGCACGCGCTTTAGTTTTACATGTTTAAATAATGTGACCGTTAGTGTGTAAACTGAGCGGGGGAAAAAAAACGGTTTGAAAATTTGAATAATGCGACCGTTAGTGTGTAAACTGAGGAAAAAAACGGTTAGAAAATTTAGGTAATCTGACTCTTAGTGTGTAAACTGAGAGGGAAGAAAACGGATTGAAATTTGAATAATGAAAGCTGGTGTAAACTGAGGGGGAAAAAAACGGTTTTATATTTGAATAATGAGACTGTTTTTGTTTAAAGTGAAGAGAAAAAAAGACCAGATTAAAACCTGATGGATTTGCTTTCTAGTGGGAATTGGCTTAATGGTCATCATTGGAGCCCTCTAGTTTCCTGTAGGACGCCTTTAGATCCCATTAGGAAACAGTGCAGCTGAAATCAGAACACCTGTTAAACCATTAGAGTCCTTTACACTGTGATATTAACCCATCAGGAAAAACACAAAATACCAACAGAACAACAACAGAAACTTTCTGTCTTTTTCAGCAGGTCTTAGTTTCTTACACAGTCTTTTACAGTAATGCGTATGAAGCGTATAAACGGGATAATTGCCACACGCTTTTAGAGTTTTATGTGTATTTTTTTAATAATGACACCATGTTAAAAGTATAAACTGAAGGAGGAGAGAAAAAAGTGCTGTTGTTCATTCAAATGTTGATTCCGTTAAGTGTGATTGTGAGACTTTGTGACTATGTTCATGGAAGTTGGGGGAGTTGTTGAAGCATTAACTAAGTGTGTCAAAGACGTGTTTGCCTGAACGCTGGTTAAAATGGTGGAGGGTCGGTGCTGCCTGCAGAGGGAGGGGGTTTACCGCTGGTTCTCTGGGCTGAACTCAGCGCAGCGGGCCGAGTTCCTCTGCGGCCTTCTGGACCTCTGCGTACCGGTCGAGTTGCGCTTTCTCGGCTCTTGTCTGGAGGACTTGGCCCGCAAGGACTACCACTCCCTCCGGGATGCGGAGATAAAGGCGAACAACCCGGCCGACCTGGCCCACCTCACCAACATCACGGATGAGGTGGTGCGGAGCAAACTTCTCGTGTCCCTGGCGCTGCTGAGCTCGGATAACCGGGCGGCAGCGGCGGTGTTGTTTCGCACCCTCACACACATCGACGCCGTCATCCACAACTACGGACTTCAGCTGAACGATGGCCGCACTGGGGAGCAGTTCCTGCTGCTCTTCACCATGGCCTCCAACCACCCGGCCTTCAGCTTCCATCAGAAGCAGGTGCTCCGCCAGCAGCTCACCCAGATCCAGGAGATCCTGCAAGTGACCGGGGTGGAAACGGCACACGGTGGGACCAGCGGCAGTTTACCGGCGTCGGCCATCCCCGCCTTCCTGAGCCCGTCTGGACACATCCCCTACCGGGGAGGGCCGTGTCCCTGCTGCACAAAGGTAGGACTTCACAGTATGGACGAGAAATATCAGACCGCGATTGTGGTGGTCATCGTGGGGTCGATCTAACGTCCAAAAGTGTTCAGAGATCCCTTAACCTTAGTGAATTCAGCTTCTTTAAGGGTGCATCTGTTACTATCACACATGTTCAGTTGTGCCTCCACAGCTTATAAGGTCTCCATAGAGAAGCATTGCCAGCTCTGGAGCAGCCGCACGTGAGTCTAAGGTCAACTTAAGGCTAAAGGGGTATAAAGATTCCCAGCATTGGGCTGTGGAACAGCGGGTGGAGCTCCATCCAGTACCTTTGGGATGAGTTGAAGTGATCCAGAGCTGACCATCCAGCATCAGTACCTGACCTCACTAATGCTCAATCAAATCCTCACAGCAATGTTCCAACATCTAGTGTAAAGCCTTCCAAGTAGAGTAGAGGCTGTTACTGCAGGAAAGGGGACAAACTCACTTTTAATACCCTTCATTTCAGAAGAAATGGTGGATGAGCAGGTGTCTACAAACATTTGGACATATAGTGTATTAAAAGCACACTGGTGAACCTGAGGTGGTCAAGCATTACTTTTACCAGTTTACCAGTTGATGTTCAACTGTGGAACCAGTTAGCACAGCTCACTTGATTAATCAGAGACCTAAGAACCTCATTTAGAAGGTCTGAGGTTGGTCAGGATAATCAACAAATTTGTAGGCATGATATCTTTTACTGATGACACTTCTCAAAAACACCAACTGAGGAGCAGGAAGATGGCGGGTTTAGCTGTACGGTAACCTAACCTTGAAACCCACTGAATAACAGACTGTACATCATGCTCAAAGTTTTATGTATTTTGTTTATAGTGGACTCTCTATAGTGGAGCCCCTGTTCTCTTAGCTGTGGTCCCATCTAAGAGAGCTGCTTGCTTTGCCTTTACTGGAGAACATGAGTTTGGTTCACCTGGTGAGAGAACAGCAGGACACAGCAGTTAACACGCCTACATATTGGCAGCGATGAATCATTTAATCCCCCCCACCAAATATCCCACAGTAATAATGAGAATAAGAAAACATAACAGTGCTGCTCACCATCAGTGACTGACAAAAATGAATCATTGCAAGTTTAGGAATTGTTTTTCTTCTGCACTTTTCGGATTCCAGTTCCTGACAGTCTGTTTCTAAAAACAGAGTGAAATGCATAATTTGTAGCCTTACTGAACTCATGGAAACGCTGTAAAGGGTTTTATGAGAGTGCAGCAACCTGAAGGTGTTGCCAACAGTGTCTGTGTTTACATGTAAAGATTTCTGCCAATCCGATTGAACACACTCTGATTATAGATTAAAACTGAGGTGTTTATTCTCACTCTACTCAACAATCTGATGGAAAATCTTCGTTTACATGCTCACTACAAGTAATCCGATCCAAAATTACGCGCAAGTGTAGAGAACCACTTACCATGACAACGAGCATCACGTGAGTCCAGTCGGCATGGAAGCTGGGACACGTAAGCTGGACGTCCGTCCCACCGCCATCTTTTAAAGATGAGAGCATAAACTTCATCTCCTCTGCAGACCAGTTTCTGCTCCGCCTTGTTGAACGGTATAAACCTTCACTATGACGTGACGAACATGATCAGAACGTACTTAAACTTTCCGATAGGGAATGTAATCAGATACAGGCGTTTACACGGATATATATTATTCTTCTATTTAACTGATTATTTACAGGATTACCCACCTCGTTCAGTCGGATAGAAATCGTATTCCGAATGGCCTCAATTAGACTAGTCTACATGGACGTATTCTGTTATTCTGTATCTAATTCTATTATTCTAATCTGGATTATTACTGGATTATGAGGCTGCATGTGAACGTGGCTAGTGACCATAATTCTCTGAATAAGCTGCTGCATGGCTAAGTCTCCGTTATCTCCATATTGGATTTATACCACGTTATCTCTGAGGGATCCGAAGTCCAAGATGGTGTTTAAAGGAAGGGTTTAAATCTAATCCTGGTTCATACTTACTTTGTTCTTAAAACACAATTAACGATGAAGCCATAACTAGTTTATAACAGGGTTATACATCATAAATCTTGGTGGTAAATGGAATGATTATTTAACTGTTGCTGCCTATGATGGGGAACACAGATGAAAACTATAGGGGAGCTGCTAAAGATTATTTAGTAATCGTCTAATCTATGCATTGTTTTACTACAGCATCTTGTGAATATGCAAATCATGCGAACCTACTTGTATGTTATGGTAAACAAGCCGATGATGAAAGGTTTTGCATCTGCATAAGTCGCTCGCCTCATTTGACCCCAGCTGTGTGTCCAAGCATAAGCACACACTGTTTGGGTTTTAGTTATGGGGTATAATTCGGCTCAGCTGTTGGGCAGATTCCAGAGTCATTCTGCTCCCAACTCGCTCGCATTTGTGGGAGTAATGTAGGTGTGGAGTTTCATGGGAGGAATTTCTCTGTGTTTTTTTTTTTTATGCCAACTTCATCGTGACTTTTGTCTCGCAGAGGGTTTTCTCATGATCTCAGCTTCACGTTGTTTACTCAGCACACGCAAAGCCCTTGTGGTGATCTGAAGTCAGTCTTCCTCTCCTCACTCACACACTGGTCAGTTGGTCCAATAACTGCTTCACTCAGAATGCAAACGTTGCTCGTAATGAATGAAAACAGCTGCAGGTCAGTTAGCATCATCAGCTTTTTTGCACTGTTAGCCACATTAGCATATTTGGGTATGATGTTTCTTTAAGGAGTGGTTAGGTCTAGACTGCTAACAGTGCTAGCGGTGGGGTGCTGGAGCCTATCCCAGCTGTCATTGGGCGGAAGGCAGGATACACCCTGGACAGGTCGCCAGTCCATCACTGGGCAGACAGACAGACATATACATTCACACTCACACCTAGGGGCAATTTTAGCATGTCCAATCAGCCTGACTGCATGTTTTTGGACTGTGGGAGGAAACCGGAGTACCCGGAGGAAACCCACGCAGACACGGGGAGAACAGGCAAACTCCACACAGAAACGACTCTGGCCGCCCGGCCGGGAATCGAACCCAGGCCCTTCTTGCTGTGAGGCGACAGCGCTACCCACTGCGTCACCGTGCCATATGTAATACTGTGCCGTAATAATAATACTGCTACTACTAATAATATTTTTTTTCATTATGATGCACTCTTAAAAAATGCTTCTTCAAGGGTTCTTTACTAAAGACAGTGGTTCTATATAGAACCATGAACACTCGAACAACCATTTCCATGCTTGAAAAGTTCTTTGCATATTGAAATGGTTCTTGAGATTGAGAGCATGTTGTATATGGGGTTTATATGTATCTTATATATATTATATCTTATATATGTTATATATATATAACAGAAGAACCTTTTTGGTGCTATATCGAATCCTTTTCACAAAGGTTCCATATAGAACCATGTACAATACATTCTCCATTGATCTGAAGAATGATTTTACCATGTAAAGAACTCTTTGAGCATGCAGATGGTTTGAGTGTTCATTGTTCTAAATCAGAGGTCACTAATAGGCGGACCGCGGTCTGAGTCCGGACCCAAAAGCTGTCCTATGTGGAACCTGGACCTATAACCGATAAACTATGGAGAATTATTTAATTTCGACGGGGTGGTCCTATTTTAATCAGCGTAACTTTTCTAGCCTTTACAGTAGCTTTAGCGGCCCAGGAGACTCACAGACCAAACGCATGCGTTGTAAATATCACATGGCGCTACTCAGCCAATCAGATCTGTGCATTACGATGCACACTGAGACTCAAGTGAGTGATGCACACACAGGGGAGGGACGAGGCGAGACACAGTCAGAGAAGAAAGTGAGTCAGAGGGAAGTTATTTCTCATGGCGTGATCTAAAAAGAGAAAACTGACGATAAATGTTGTTGAAATATGACTGAACTGTACTTTATTTGATTTGATATTCAGTTGTTGACTGTATAAGATGTTGATATAACCACTAGGCTATTTCAGTAAACAGTATATGGCACTGAGTCATAATGCAAGTTATGATGTTCTGGACCTTTGCCTGAGGAAATTTCCTCTAACTGGACCTTACTGAATTTTAATTAAATATCCCTGTTCTAAATAGTATTTGTTCTAAAGAAAGCCTTGTCTTTACTGAAGAACCCTTGAAGAACCAACTTTTTAAAGAGTGTAATGTAACGGTAGAAAATAAATAAAGAGAATAATACATAGAAAACTTATATAGAAAAACATAGAAATAAAAATTATGTTGATTAAAGCCTGTGATGTGCAAATTGGTGTTCACTCACTTCCATTCATTCCCAGCCTCGTTAATGCGGTTTTGAATGAGCTGTTCTTGTAAGACTTTTCTGACGTGTTGAAGAATTTGTTGTTGCTGTTGTTGTTGTTGTTGTTATTCTGCTTGGTAGTATGTTTTTAGTGGATAAGCAGTTACGTAAGGAGTAGAACGTCCTTGTGTTTACGTCCGCAGCAGCGAACCCGTCGAGTCTCAGCCTGCCCAGGATAACCGAGTCAGTTGATCTGGGTTCATTTCGATGAGAACCGTGTCTGCCAATCAGAGGGAACGTGAGGCTGTGTTACGGCCGCCGCAGCGGTAATCCAAAACCGACGTTTTAACAGATCGTCTGAAGGGAGGTTGCTCATGCACATGCACTCATGCACTCGCTAGTTAAATGTTTGTGTGTGTGAGGGGGGAAAGTACCGGCTGCAGGCAGAGAAAAGGCGGCCGTATTTAGTGTTTTGTTGGTTTTGGCTTGTGTTGAGTTCAGCTCAGCACATTGCTCTCTGCTGAAGTCAGCCCTCTGCATGATACCCTCCACTGATTCACGAGAAAAGTCAGACAGCGCTCTCGTTCAAGAGCCCGTCCTCCTAGTCTAAACATCAACGGAAGCACACTCGCACACAAAAACAGCGATGGAGTCAAAGGAATTCCCAGCATCCTTTGTTTGTAACGCCGCAGATAAGTTATCGGTTGTGAAGTGGCTTTTTCTTGTTGT